TGCATTCACTCTCAGACTTATAACTCCCATTACTTTCTGTAGATTTACTCTTTATTTCTGTTCATTATAGTTCCTTTGATTCTTTTTCTCTACCCTTGTGTGCTAATATGGAGTGTGGTAACTTCAAATGGTGTACCTTTGTGGAAGGTTCTACCTTAAAAACTCAGTCAGTGAGATGTGAGACTGAAAACAGTTTAGGTTATCTCTTGGAGGCTGTAAATATTCACTTATTTGTTTGCTGTGTTTGTCAGACACGTGTAGTTCATTCAAGCATCACCATGACAGCAATATTTTGTGGAATCTTTGGTCTCACATTTTTCTGATGTCCAATTGTGGGTCTAAAAGTTAGCGACGATGAAGCACTAAGGTTTTAGGATTTGCCATGACTGTTTCGTTCAGTTGTTAGCCCTCTGTTAGTGTTATATATGCAGTAGATGGGTTTTTCAACTCTTTGGTTGTGCGAAGTTATGACAATTTTTCTTACTGGTATTCGCACTTTTTTATCGAATACTCTTCACTCGATTAAAGTGAGACAGTGTGCCGTCCGGTTAGTCGTGTATTTCTGAAGGCACTTATCAGTCTAATAAACCCTCTTTTACTGAGCGTAGTATCTTATTATAAGTATAGAGATGTTTAGGAGCCTTTATGAGTTTTCTTATTGATTGATAGACTGTGATTTTGATTACTGCGATGTTTGTGTCAAATTAAAGACCCACATGTCGTGGAAACAATCCATTGTCGGATTAGCTGGGTGTTATAACTGCACTGAACTGAATAAACCCGTTGCCACTTTGTTATGTCTGTGCCTGCTAATTTTTATAACAGTAACGAACTCTACTGGTACGCTAATACCCCTGTTTGTCCGTTGTACCTTCCGATTCACTAAGCCACGCAAATATCAAAAGACAAAGATCGGCTGCGACTGTAAGATATTGTGTTGTAAATTTTAAGACAACACATGATATTTATACATTTTCTTTACCATAATAAAGTCGGCACACAGTCGTGAGAATGGATTGCTCTTATCAGCTAGCAATGGCCATTCTCAGAGGTTGGCGATCCGACAAAGTTCAAGGTGAGACAAAAGACAATGAATTGATCACACACTAAATCACAATATGCGTGAGAAATGATCGATCAACATAGTAACTCCATCACAAGATAAATCACACGATTCGTGAGAAAGAATGATATACTATTTTATGCTGGTTCCTATCACTGGGTCACGTCAGTGTTTGTTAAGATAAGGTTGTAGGATTAGTACTTTATAGTGTACAGTCGCTTTGATAGTTTCGGACGCATTTGAAGTTTGTCCATCATTACCGTAACATCACGTTTTTATCTTTCGGCATTCTGCGTCTTTCAATCATAGTACTTTCATTCTACTAAGTATCAGATTACGATAACTAGTTGATGATCTCTTCCCCCAGTTCGGAATATTAATAGCACGCATATTAAGAATGTGTCTTGGATTAAGCACTTTACCTGTAGATTTTTACTGGCGTACATATATCAATTCCTCTTTTTGTTACAAGAGCGTACCTTGCATGTTGCTTGCTATTGCCTTATGAAATTTCTTGTCTTGTAAATATTTTTGTTCCCCATCAACTTACTTTTTCCCCGATGTCTTTGTAGACATTATTTAATAAATCATGCAGAGATAGGTGAAGATAGGCCAATTTCAAATCAAAGTTCAGCAAATGAAAATAGCTTGGACACAACTGGTTCGGATGAAGTACTGGATGTTTCGACTGAGGAACATGATTCATCGTAAGTTCACACTAATATGTGTTTCATGAAGTGCCAGTGTAATTCACTATGTCTAGGCGACTAGATTTGTTTGTCCCAGCTTACGTTGGGTAGTGCAGTATACTATGTCTCTGTATGACTATTTTATAATTGGATGTGAATACGAGGAGCATATCCCCGCACGTGAGCCGTTGGTTGTCTGGAAGAAGTCTATGCACCTGAGTATTGTGAGCTGACGGAGGGGCACCTCTAGTATATCAAAGGTCGGGTTCACACAACTTTGCTGCGTGTAACCTTGCGTTAAGCCAGTGAAATCTGGCTAGCAATGTGCGGTGATTTTTCCGTTCGATCATTGCTGCTTTTTCGTGCGAAATCTGGTCATGAAAACTCTAGGATGACCAACTGACATCTTGGTATCTTGGGATGAAGGATATTTGTGTTGTTTGCATCTCTTCGTATATCACAACTATCTGGATGACTTATGAGAAATCATACTACCTAGAGACTGATGATATTGCTAGGTACTGCCAGGAATCGAAACGCGGCTGTTCAATACTTCCTGGTTGTATAACTATCGTCAATTCGTGATCACTTGAAGTATTTTTGTGTAGAGCTTTAATATGTACCAATTTGCACTGATGCAGTTTTCTGTTACTGACATCCAGCTAGGGATTTATTGTTCAAACCTCTGAGAAAAATTATAATTATGCTTGCTTCATACTATTTGACAGTTTTTTTCGAGCATCACTAATTTGGGTTATTTAAGAATGATTCCTATTCCGTACTGGTATGTCATCATGTGAAAAATAATTTTCAGACGAAAACAAGGCATCTCTTCCTTGTTGACAAAGTTACTGTCGATTCTCGCGACACTCTCTCACAGCAGGCGTACCACACACTTGGTCACTGTCCTTACCTGTCTATGAGCTGTTTTGTCGAAGCAGTCCTAAAGATACAGGTTAATTTTTTTTTTCAATGTGTAACTTGCTTTCCGTTATTTAACCGACTTATCCATTGCACCCGTTTTATACAAAGGATCACAGATAATGAAGAATCTGTTCACGACGCGACAGAATCTCAGCAAGGCCTCTCACCCGACCGAAGGGTTGATTTTCGTCGCATTATGAATTTTATTGATCGTGTAATTAGTGCTACAGTCACTGGACGTGAGAACAACCGAACTGGCAACACAAGCGATACCGATGTGTCAGTGGATAGAGAGCCAACCTCTGTATACAGATGGAACAAAAAAGGTGATAAATACCGTTGGGTTCCCCCAAGTTATACTTACAAAGAGGAAATGCAGCGCATTCTGTCAGAAGAATTACACCTTGGAAACGCTTTAATCCGATCTGTAATAACACTGTGAAGAAATATAGATTACCTTATGTTTGTTTCGTTTTATGATTTAATAAGATATCAAAGAATTATGATTATCATTCACAATTTCATGACAAACTTTATATTTGTACTACATAACTTTTCCACGCAAACTCGTTTTCTGAGCTAGAACCCTGCATTTCTAGATTTTAGGGACCTTGCTGTAATTCTCCTACTGATTATCCTTTCCATGCATTAAAATAAAAGAAATAAACAATCTGTGTATTTTTTATCTTTTGGCAGAGCAGTAAGGGGGAAATGCAATTACAACCGGTTTACTTAGTTTCGTGTTTTTTGCTTAGCGCCCCAGGCACATCACTGATACGACCTCTGTGGGGATTCCAAAGCCTCAACCACATGCTCCTGAAATGACAAACAAAAAAATATTCAAATCACTAAATAAAATCGTCAAGTGTTAAGTAGAAATACTTTTTAAGTGGTAGCACTGTTTAATTCTTTAGTTAAAAATGAGCAAATTAAAATATTTGGAAGTTACATGTCACTAGATGGTTAGTGTAGGAAGTCCCCAATCGATAAATATTGGTAACTTGGCAGTTGAAATCTTTGTGGCGATACTGTTTAAATAGGGTGACAGCAAGAATTGGATACCATGAGAACTGCATAATAATCTCCACGGTTAGTAACGCGATCACGATAGTGGAATATTATAGTATCATTAAGGAATAACGTTCTAGATCCTAATAATACCATAAGTTTTGGTCTCAACTTAAGACAGATTTCACTAATCCAACATTCTCACTTTTCATTAGTAAATTGCTTTGGGTTAAACATTTAGCATGTGAGATGACAATTAGTGATAGCAATACTTAGACTGAAAAGTTATGACACCACCACGTCTACTGTACAAACTATGCTGACGAGAGTTGATAAACTGCATACAAATATCAATAAAATCTAGTGGGACCTATCCTTACCGGCTCTGAACATGAAGAGGAAGGACGGCTGGTTGAAATCACCAGAAGTCTATAACGATAGTGAACAATAGGGGCTGACAGAAAAGGAAACATTAGAAGATGAAATACCCGTCAACTATTTGGAGTTATTTAGAAGACGAGTCTCGGAAAGTTATGTTAAGTGGAACAATCCCCTAAAAGGATGAAATTTCAGTAGTTTTTCAGGTGAAACGACTGGAGCAACACGTAAAATACTTGGTAGATGTGTTCGGGAGGATTGCAGTTGCTTATCTTTTAAACTCAGTCTGCACGGGACATGAATATCAGATTCCTAGCAGAAGTGCCGAAACAGCAGCTGAATCTAACCCCAAAAGTATTTAAGAGCTATAGTGAATCATACAGTAGATTAACTAAGATACTTGTTATTGTGTGGCACAAATCAAGATATTTCCGTCAAACTGATCATCATAGTCTATAAGAAAGAAAACAAATCCTTCTGTCCCCTTGATTAGTTTGAATGAAAATAATGATGTCATTTTATCATGCAAATTTATTCTTTCTTGTTCTTCTTCACACAAGAAGATCAACCTGACTAGTGTGGTATTCAGTATTCTAGGTCCCACGATTGGTAGGCATAAACTTCTATTTGTAAGATACGGAGTGAAGTGGTTGGATATATCAAAGGCTTCACTTGTACGTAAAGTTGCTTCGATACTTTGAACTTTTGACCGACGAACTCTCAGTATTGATACAAAAGGCTCTTTTTGCCCTTACCAACTTTCATTGCCTTTGAATTTGCTGTCTCTCAATCGGTCAACAACTGAGTATTTACGCTGCGATAGTAAAATGTGGCATATAGTCACATAGACTTGCTGCCAGTGAATTTTGCAGTTACTAAACTGTGTTGACCTTCAACTGATAAAGTAATCTTCAGTTAGAAAAGATGATAAATATACATCAGGAAATCTTCAATACTGCAGCACCTAGGCGGAGTTTAGAATCAATAAGCCTAGCTGTTTGTTCAAAAATGTCAATAGCTCCTCTGAAGATGCCGAAATAGAACAATAGATAGGTGAATGGGTCCCACTTACTTTTCTTCACTATCAGCAGTTTCACTTCTTTTTCTGTCTGAATTTTTGAGGATTTTATAGGCGAGACGTCTTTCTCCACGTCGACGACTAATTACACTACTCAGACACCGATTTGCATTAGATTCTTTGTTTTTGGACATTATGTTTACACGATTTGTTTTCCACTGGTTCACAAGTCTGTCTAGTTCTGCATCAACCTCTGAACCGCTTCTTTTCATTACTGATAAGATACCATCCATATGCGGAAGGTCAGCATCACTCCACAGTGTAACAGCTCTTCCATGGTGACCAGCTCTTCCAGTTCGACCGACACGATGTATATATTCTTGTTCTGATGCAGGGACATCATAGTTGACTACCATACTGACACCCTTGGAATGAGAAAACAATGTAAGTTCATACTATTATCAACTGACCCACGCGAAGTACACAATTTTGACTTCAAGTTCACTTGAATGAATAGACTGTTAACAGTGTATTATTAGTTACAAAATTTTTCCACAGGATATCGAAAGAAATGTTTGTTGTTGAAACTGTTTGGGATAAGATGAGAGTGAAAGACTGAGAATCTAAGCTGAAATCAAAGGCTTACTTTTTGAACCAACGAGCGAAGTCACTTGGAAAATATACTAGTGTTTCTATTTTCAACTTTACGTCACATCAGAAGTCTACTGCTGCATAATTGGAAAGTATACTCATTAACATCTGTGTGAAAACATTTACGAAAATAATGTAGAATTCGTACACTCGGTTGGTACCTTCACTTTCGGAAGTGGAGATTAGTAGATACAGTCATCAACCAGTCATAATGCGGTGAATTGTACAACGTTCTTTTAGTGATTACAAAAGATTTATATTACTTAAGTTATTCTGTGAGAAATGAAAATAATAATGCGGTTCAGCAACCATAAGATGAGAAGAGCAAGTGACAATTAACAAAGAAGACAGTCATATGCTCTAAAGAGAGTATATCTGCATACTTTTAGTTGACTACGCGTTTCTCAAACAACCCTGTTTACAACCCCTTTCAAAAAAGGAGTAGGGTGATAAACAGAAAGGCTTTGTGTGCTTATTGAAGTTTGTGGGTGGCTATCACTCCTCGACTGCCTATACCGGGCGTTTTCTTCTGAAGAACAGAAGAGGCATTAGACCAACGCCGCAGAGACTCTAACGGGCACAGGTATTTTATGCATGGTATATCGAATGACACACTGCATGGGGATTTTACAATACGGCTTATGAGGTCCACTGAGGAGTCTGCTTTTACCTATCTTGAACCAATAATCTGTAAATTTTCGGAAAATACGATATTATCACAGCAAAACTATTTACAAACGAGCATCAATTCAGTTAACAGGGCATATTTTCCTGAACGACAGCTTCGAGATCTTCACATCTACAATTGGTTTGCAGTCATTTTCTAGAAATCTGTGTTTGCATTCAAACTAATCAAAAAGCACAACACTAAAGCGAGCCCCAAACCTTTATCAACCTCATTCAACAGCTGGGCTACATGACAATGCCACGTGTCAAGTGATCAGCAACGGAAGACTCATCGGGTCGTTTGCAGTGAATACATGGATAAGAAGATGCTGCCTTCTTTCACCGATGATATCCTTAATTGTGCTGGTCTGGGTTATGCATCAATCTATGCACAGGGAGTGAGTAGACAACAACACGCTGGACCGATAAGAAGACACTTCAAGATTTGGACTTCTCAGATAATTCATGTCTCACAAACTCGAAGACTTACAGGCGAAAACCAACAAACTGGCGGAAGTGGCAGGCAGCGAAGACAGGACTCCAGGTGAACATAGAGAAGACGGAAGTGATAAAGATAACCAAGCCAATCACAGCACCAATCACTATCAACAGAAGTTTGAAAGAGGCTCCTTCCCTCATTTATCCAAGCATCATCGTTTTAACTACTGGCAGAATGGATGAAGATGTCAAAGGCAGGATGGGAACGGCAAGGTACGCTTCAAAATCAGTCTGGAAATCTTCTGTACTCCGTAGCATACAGAGCAAGATTCGGATTTTCAACAAAAATGTCAAGTCAGTCGGTTTTTTTATATGATTCAGGAACTTGGAGTGCGAGTCAAGAAAAGTATTTCCAACGGTCTACTGCAGAATTTTATCAACATCTGCCTTTGATAACTCCATACTGAATATAAGGTGGTTTGCCAGAAAGAACTATCAAGAAGAAACTATGGGAACAGACTAATCTAGAACATATTCCTCAACAAATATGCTGTAGGAAATGGAGATGGATCGGAAACACGCTGAGGAGACCATCAAATGACATCGCACACCTAGCCATAGTTTAAGTAGAACCCGAATGGAAAACGAAGGGTTGGGCCATCCAAGTGACATGGAGGAGATCAGAGACTATGGGCAATCGTGGGGCCGGATAAAGAGGACCGTACAAAACAGGACAAAGTGGAGATGTGCTGTTGGAGCCCTATGGAGCCCCACTCGGAACCCAAGGGAATGACAATAAAGCACAAGGTGAAGCGCAGAAGCTAGTAAAATTTTTGGAAATGACTTAAATACAAACTTAGAAACTGAGCATTAATAGGTGAGCTCAGTCGGTAGAACATCAGACTCTTAATCTGAGGATCGGGGGTTCGCACCCCTCATCGGGCGGCGGGGCCCAAGTGGTCCAGTGGATAGCGCCCCGTGTGTGTCGGTGGCACAGCGTTTAGGACTGTCGCCGACCATGCACATGGTCCGGGGTTCGATCCCCTACCGACGCACACCTGATATCAATTGGTCGGTGTGCAAAATCTGGGCTACCGATATCACATGCTGAAAATTCCATACTTATACCAAAAATACAGTATATAATCAAAAAGGCAAAATATTGTTTATGCACAACCTGTATTTTCTATTTCCATTATCAAAGTTTATAATGTTACGTACGTTGATGTATAATCTCGTTAAAGCACAACCTGGGACTTACTTTGAAATCGATTCCACGACCCAATAAATCTGTACAAATGAGAACATGAAGTTTTCCTTCACGAAAAGCACGAACAACTTTGGCACGCTGAAAAATTAAACAAGAGTGGATACTTATTAGTTCAAACTTAGTTACCCAGAACAAATTTTCTACATACCAGAAAGTGAACCACACTTTTTGTGTGAGGGCTGATGAAACTAACTGCCTGCCCAAACTAAAATGTTTAGACATACGGACACCGTCATTTTGGGGTTTCAACCAACAAAGTGCTTTTTTATAGTTCACACTATGAAGTAAGACAAATTTGTTGAGAGATTTATTTAGTTAGTGAAATGATATATCCATGGTGAATTCATGCATTAACATACGTGAAATTTGTCTATTTACCCTGTGATAAAGCGACGTTAAGCGTTAATTACAACTGGATTTTTCATGCACAGTTCCCAATATTCTGCAGAGAAGCTGTACTTTCTATGTTTCCAGGCATATTATATGTACTTGTATAAATTTAGACATCTGCTAGAATGCACGTAGCCATTATTATGATGACAGCTAGTCTTTATAGAAACAAATGCAGATAATCATCTTGAAAAACTGGTTTGAGTTTGTCAGTAAAAGGCTAAAAGAAAGGATAGGACAGATTATCCTTATTAACTATGGAGTAAAAAGCTCTAACAAATATAGATAAAGCAAAAAATCGAGTACATGGATGAAATTAGGCATATAACACACTGAAAGAGACTTGGGGGTGACTTGTAAATAGCAATAGAAAATAGGACACAAAACGACAATAAGCACATACTTGAGCTGTCGTTTTATCACCAGAAATAACATTTACCAAAATGTTTGCATCAGATAGTAGGATTTCTTTAAGGATTTCATTAGCTCTCTCTCGAGACTGCATAAAAATCAAACATGGATAAGCTAGTCCATTAGCAAGTAGGTAACGCATTTCTAAAAGTTTCCCTTGTTCATTAGCACAGTAGCGCAGCTCTTGTTTGACAGTAGAAACAGCAGCATTTCTATGCAGATTGTCACAAAAAGAAAAAGTTAGCATATTTATTACAAAGATTGAAGGTTGATGTAAGAGTAAACTTCAACTAGACTAATAGCGAGGGTATAAGAAACAGAATGCATACAGCCAGTGCTCCTGGAGAAGAGTGCGACAATTGACAATTCGAGTTTCTCTTGAAGATATCAAAGACAGTAGAAAAGTAAAATCATACTTGCTAGATACATTCATTATTTTTCAGAACCACGATGACAATACATACTACATCCACATTTGTCTTACTGACTTTGTTGCCTTCGTTATCAACTATTCAAGATTTAAAAACAGTCTTGATAGTCCTGAATTTCAAATAGTTCAACACTAGAGGGCAATTAACCAAACTTCTAAGTCTTCTGCTTTACAATGATATTTGGGATGAAGATAACATTTTATGGTAATAATTTTGAGCACATCTTTCGACCTGGAGACGGTAAATAACTTTAAAGATCAAGCCTTGAAACTATCCTCATAAGTGAAGCGCCTTCAGCAAGTACGTCAACTTGTGCAGTTATATACAATTTATAAAACGTCTAACTAGAAGTGATAGTAAACTATGATGCTCTCAATACGTTTTCTCGGTGCTATCACAAATAAAACTGTGGAAAGGTAGGCTTAAGAAATCTAAGTGGTAATGCAATGGAATAATGCTTTTCATGCCTTTCATTACAACCAAAGTAGGTTTTTCTTTTGCAAGAAAGCAAAACTTTACACTGAAAATGTCCATAGTGTGGGGAGTGTAGGTTCTTTGTCTGAAATTAGGCGTGGCATTCAAGGCTTAATTACAAAACACGTAATGAAGAGTATTATCACACTATATCTAACTTAACACCACAAAAATCGATATTGTCTAGTATATAACTATGATTACGATAAAACGCACTGAAACGCAAAACTACAATAAATACTGCAACTGGTAATGCTTCTCTTACCGGATACCCACTCTTAATTGAACTAATTCTAGGGCGAAATTATCAGTCTGCAGGAGAGCAGGTAGCTGATTTTTTGCCCATAGTACAACCTCATCGGGAATAGTAGCTGAAAACAAAGCGATAGCAGGCCTAGTCAGTAACTGTTCATTGGAATGGCTGGTCTTCACGGCCTCGAAGATAGCAGCTAACTGATCATGAAATCCACGAGGTCGATATTTCCCTTTGTCCAAATGCTCTGAGTTAAGACGAGAAACATCGCCAAAATTTACTTCCAGCATCTTATCACATTCATCCACCACGAGCCAAAAGAGCCTGAAAATCATACAGGAAAAATGTATATTGAAATATTACTCGTAATTAATTCCTCTACTGATGTACTTAATATACCAAAAACAAGGATACGTACCAAACTTTTGGAGTGCGCAAAAGTTCCTAGTTAGTGCCTAAACTTTTGAGCTAATCGTACAACGTAATCACGTAAAATAATGAGAAACATTTACGGTAAAATCAAACTGATAGCAAACATACCTGGAGAAGTCAAACGGACATTGCTTGGGTGGAAGAGATAACAAAGCAATTAACCGACTTGGCGTTGTAATTAGGATTTTTGTGTTCAAAGGTAATCTTAATTCACGTGACTTCTTCGAATTCTGTAGTACACTTCCAGTCCCAACAGTCTTATCTGAGCTCCTTTTGCACCGATTAGAATAGTGTTTTTGGTTGAGCATTGCCACATAACAGTCTCCTTGGACACCACGACATAACCGAATCGCTTCAGACCAGATTTGATGCATAAGTTCTTGGGTGGGGGCCAAGATAATAGCGAATGGAAATATTTTCTTTTCTAACTGCATATTTCCACCCAGAGTATCCGTAGAATTAACACAGTCGGGAAGTTTTGTTAATAATAATTCATTAAGCACTGGAAGTAGGTAGGCGACTGTTTTCCCTGAACCTGTTGGTGCACAAGCTAGTACATTAAGATGCCAAAAAATAATGGCTAGGGCTTCAGTATATCTTGATGTATTACAAAACATGTGAAAATAAGAAAACAAGTTGAATAAAAGTAGTCAAAGCAACAACACAAGAAGTGCTGTAAAACTTCACGTAAACTTTCAGAAGGGACAGCATTCTTCTACCCAGAAAACCTAGTTTTGACAAAATGGTGACGAGACTGTGATCAGGACACTAACTAGATTATTTAAGAAATTCTGGGAAATTCAGTGCTCCAATGAGGAATAAGACAATCATTAAACCTATCTTTAACAAAGATTTATGTAGTGCGTATGATGATCATCACGGTATTAGTTCGATACTAGTTGAATCTAAAATGCTGGCTTCTGTTATGCCCGGTAGGCTTTGTAAAACGCGAAGAGCAGGCATGATTTCGTTCGTGTTGAGAATGTATTGATGACATGTTCACTGCACATCAGTTGTTAGACGTGTTGTGCCACAATAATCATGATATTATGGTTGGCTTCGATTCTTTAGAATGTTGGATGAAATTGTCTGTTAGAAAGAGGTACCCTAGAGAAGTTTAACTACATCCCGTAATCTCAATACAAAGTATCTGAAGTAGAGTGACGGCATACCATCACACAACATTGTTTATTTCCACTTAATTTAGCCAACAACGGCCTCCTAAAGGCATCTCTAAAGGACTGTGTAATGGTGTAGATCTTAATTATGAGGAGAGTATTGTCTTACTGTGCAGTAACAACAGCTACCCGAATCACATGTAGTCTGTTGGAGACTCTTGTCTAGAATTTTGATATGTAATTTGATCCAAGAGCAAAGTACTGTTGCGAGATTGGCAGGAACTTGTACTAGTATTCACCCCACAGTTATTTATTAGCTGGGGAATTTACACATCTAGATAGTTGTGAATGCTTGCAGACGTGTAACGCATGAAATTTTGAAACGTGTAGTGAAATTCCGGACTACATACTCGGAACATACTGAGCCACCAAAGACACCTTCGAGACATCAACGGTTGGTTTTACAACTCAGTGAAACTTGAACTCTGCGAGCTGACAATGTGCGGTAACTCTGTGTGGATCATTGTTGTTCCCTAAAAACTACTTGTATCTGATGTCCTCAATGTGTTAGTGATTCTAAGGTTCGACGGTCCATACTTGGATATAATGCGGCGCGTTCCATATCAGGTGATCTTGTTTTAGGAAATCAACTGCAGCGACTCGGACATGTGATACAAATATCAGTCCATAGCTTACAGATTATTCACTGTTTTGTAGTCCTAGGATTGACTGACTGCATTTCAACATAGAACTTAGTAGTTCGAATTGCCTCACCACGTCGCACACAAAAGAGAGAAGGGAAGATTCAAAAAAGAGTTAAAAGAAGCAGAGATGAACGGGAGAAAGATTAGTAGCATGCAGTTGGACGTGGAAAGTTACAAAGACTGAATGCATCTGAACCATATCACTAGTAGTCTCCAACTGTTGGTCCTTAAAATCCCGAAGACTCCAACTAGGTGGCCTACACGTACGTACGTGGACCAAACCAACTGTCGAAAACTTCATGGACTGATTCCAGGTTTTGTTTTGATCACCCCTAACTTCTTCCCAACCTAATCTTATGTCAACTAACATTATGAGAGGAAGAGAGTGATGGTTCATCATGCGTAACACGCATCATAGCCATCTCAATCAATGCAGATTCATAACCTGGTCGACTGACTTGGTCTGCTTTTCATCTAAAAAGCATATTAGGGGCTGCTTACCTAACACTGTCAACCTAACCTCAATATTACTCATCATATTATACCACCTGTCTCAGTCATACAGGACAAAGTTCTAGGATTAGGAATGGTTGTAAAGACGGGTGACCAGATAATTATATGGAATTTCAGGATTTCCACACCGAGAAGACACAGTAGACTGTCCAGGAGAAACATAGGAAAATATACCAGACAAGATTTAGTAGTGAAACCCGACCGAAAGCTGCTACCTTGACGTGGTGGTCAGGCTTGAACACCGCAATGACCCAACAACCTATAATGGCTGAAACTTATGTCAGTTGGGGTCCTACCATGCCAGAAAGGTTGTTTGGATAGTGGTTAGACAAAAAGCAGCTACCCAATCCAATCCTATGACTTAAACAAAATCACAAAATATCATACCGGATCGGCCGGGGCCCGGATTAACAACGACCAAGCTTCCTGCTGCCGTGTCACAGGGCAGAAGTGATAAATATGCTACTGAGACACACCAAATAAAAAAGAACAAACAAAAACAGGCCGTGTGTGACCGGCATCAAGTAGTTGTCTCCTGGGCTCTGCGGTCACGCAACCAACTTCCACGGTGTGGGCAGCCGGGAAGTACCAATCGCCCTCACAATCCGAAGTGCACGCGAAGCCTCTCTAATCCCCACTCATCTTTGTCTTCATCTTCATCTCTACTATCCTGCCTTCCTTCTACTGATGCAACTCCTCTACTTGATGGCTTTCCACTTCCTCTTCACTCTGTGTCCACTAAAAACGACGGAAGCCAAAATACTACTACCGATAGTCTCCTAAAGCCACGCCACCAATCTCATATAGGAGCATTTAATGTTAGGACACTTTGCCAAATAGGACAACAAGCATCACTAGCCAAGACTCTGGCATCCCGGGCCATTGATGTATGTTGTGTTTCAGAAACACGCATACAAGACCCAAGTGTGGTTATTCACCTAACCCCACCTGGTCAACAGGATGAATCTGCAAAATTCACCTTGAGGGTGTCAGAAGATGCCACAGCGAGTTCACGAGGATTAGCTGGTGTAGGGATAGCTTTGAGTACTAGGGCAGAACAGACATTACTTGACTGGATCCCGGTAGATAGCCGAATGTGTGCTGTCCGTCTGAACGGATCAGTAAAAAGGAGAAAGGACTGCACTACTCGCCGATGCCTTTTCGTAATCTCCGCCTACGCCCCCACTGACTGCAGTTCGGATGAAACGAAGGATGAGTTCTACCAAAAGCTGTCTAGTTTGCTGCGAAAGGCTAAACGCTCAGATATAGTCGTTCTAGCTGGTGACTTTAATGCTCAAGTAGGGAAATTGTGTCAATCTGAGAAGGAGGCACCTATGGAGTTCCGTGCCAGTGAACCGACAACGGTGACCGTCTCCTACAGTTCTGTTCAGATAATCATTTGTTTCTTGTAAGCACTAACTTCAAACACAAGGAGAGACACTGTTTGACCTGGCGACCCCCATCATCAAACCAACGCTGGACACAAATAGACCACATAGCAATAAGCTATCGTTGGCGTGGGTCGGTAGGAGATTGTCGCTCCTTCTGGAACACGTGTGTAAATACCGATAACGCACTGGTCTGCGCTCGTGTGTGCTTACCACTGGATGGACGTAGGAAACAGCTGACGGTAAACCCATCACGTCCCCAGCTCGATCAGGAAACTAAGTCCCTATTTGAGGAAGAACTAGCTAAACACATATCTGAGTTCGACAGCTGTGCTCACGCTGAAGAAGCCTGGAAGAATATTCAGTCAGCCATAGATACAGCTGTAAAAGCTGTGAATAAGGTATATCTAGAGGTGAGTAAAAACCATTGGATTTCAACTGCCTCATCCGAACTGATAGATGCTAGAAGACTTATTCCGGCGAGCTCCGAATTCAATGAGGAGCGAAAGCTGCACAAAAAGAAACTTACGAAAAGTCTCCGCAACGACCGTGAACAGTGGTGGGTGACAAAGGAGAAAGAGATGGAAAAAGCATCGGCGATAGGCAACACTAGGCAACTCTTTAGACTCATCAGGGAAACGGGTGGGAGAAGGCAAATTATAAGTGAGACTATTTCTGAGAAAAATGGCTCCTTAATTAACTGTCAGGATAGACGCCTTGAACGCTGGAAAGAACACTTTGAGGAACAATTTAACTTGCCTACAGCCACACTGAGCCTCCCCGCCATCCAGCACACACCCGAATGGGATATAGACACTGGTCCGCCGTCTGTAGGGGAGGTCACAAAAGCTATCTGTAATTTTAAACGAGGCAAAGCGGCAGGACCCGACGGAATTATTCCGGAGGTGTTTAAATATGGGGGTGACATACTAGTATGTAGATTAGCTGAGTTACTAGGTAACGTCTGAGAATCAGAGTCAGTTCCATCAGACTGGGGTAAGTCACTTATTATACCGATATTCAAGAAGGCAGACAAGTCCTCATGTGATAATCATGGGGGTATCAGCCTAACGAACATAGTTCCTAAAATCCTAGGCTCAGTAATCATGCACAGACTAAGCAGAACTCAGGAGGAACAAACGAGGGAAAATCAAGTGGGCTTTAGGCCAGGTAAAGGGTACATAGATCATATCTTCACTCTCCGACAGATCCTAGAACATAGACACACTTTTAGGCGTCCAACAATTGCCATATTTCTTGACCTGAAGGCGGCCTTCGACTCCGTGGATCGAGAGGTACTATGGCAATGTTTGACTGTGAAGGGAGTGCCAAGAAAGTACATTGCACTAATCAAGGCACTCTACTCAAACTCACGTAGCTGTGTAAGGGCTTATGGGGAATTGTCATCTGAATTGATAACAACCAGTGGTGTCCGTCAAGGATGTCCACTTTCCCCATTTCTGTTTAACTTCATCATAGATATGCTAATGGAAGTATCCTTAACTGAACTTAACGACTTAGGAATCGACTTGTGACCAGGGAATAGTCTTATGGACTTAGAATATACAGATGACATAGTCCTGTTAGGGGAGGACGCTGACAAAATGCAGAGTCTTCTGAACACCTTGAGCAGCAATCTTTGTATGTTTGGCATGCGATTCGCCCCTGTAAAATGTAAGATGCTGCTACAGGACTGGACTACGTCAACTCCTAGCTTAGTGATACGGAGTGAAGTGATAGAACATGTTGACCACTTCACCTATTTAGGAAGTTGTATCAGCATCAACGGACTGATTGGCGACGAAATCTCAGCACGGATCCATAAAGCTCGGGCTGCTTTCGCTAACTTACACCATCTTTCGTTTAGGCGTGATATCCGGCTGTCAACCAAGGGACGTGTGTACTGCTCAGCAGTTCGCTCCGTCCTTCTCTATGGATCTGAAACATGGCCAATACGAGTTGAAGACATGAAAAGGTTGACTTTTTGATCATAGATGTCTACGATCTCTTTCTCACGTTAGGTGGTATAATAAGGTAAGTAATGTTGACGTTAGGCGTAGAGTGTTGGGTAAGGAGGGAAAATCAACCGACGGGGC